TCAGGTTCATTTTCTTTCCGCTTCCACTTCCTGCAACAAAAGAACAGGTTGAAAATTATGGCAATCATAGATGGCCCCAAAGAGAAAAGAGCACAACTAGAATAATTGGCTGCCAAGAATAAGCAAGCAAAAAAGAGCAAATCTAAGGAATGTAAATGCCAATTACACCTCTTTTTTGCATCTCTATTTTGGTCATACGATCCATCCAGAAGAGACCTTGGCCTTATATTCGAGAAAGTCAACTATATCCCCAAACATTGAAAATGCACCACATTAATATCCACAGTTGTAATTCTATTATTCAAGAACGTTATAATAGATTTAACTGAAAGTGAGATATTGAGATCTGTATTCTGTCCAAAAAAAAAAAAAGTAGTATTGCAAGTGCTAAACTTCATTTCATTAAACATTATGGAAATGAATTGTCAGAGAATCTGCCTCCTTGCTTGGGTAATTTGACATCTCTTCAACTTTTGGATATCTCCCAAAATCAGTTCACTGGAAATATTGCCTCATTTCCCCTAACTCATCTTACATTGCTACAATATCTCTCTATTTCAAAAAATCACTTTCAAGTTCTAGATTCATTCAAGTCATTTGCAAACCATTCTAACTTGAAAATCTTCTTGAGTGATTTCAATCATTTAGTCTCAGAACATGATCTTGTTCAAACAAGGGTTTCTAAGTTCCCACCAAGTACCTTCAGCTTATCAAATTGTGGGGCAGAAGAACACCTTATCAAACCTCCTAGCTTCCTTTATTACCAGTATGACTTGAAATTTGTTGACCTTTCTTTTAGCAAATTTGGTGGAGCCTTACCCTATTGGTTGTTCAAAAACAAAATGAGATTACAAGGTTTTCTTGTGAAGAATAACTCTTTTGTGGGTCCTTTCCACTTGCCATCACATCTTGGCCTTGATGTTTCAACAATAGATATATTGAACAGCCAAATACATGGTCAAATCCCATCAAATATCAATTTGATTTTCCCATTTTTAGAGAAATTATTGTTGTCTGGAAATGCTCTTGAAGGCAAAATTCCCGACTGGTTGGGCGGGATGAACTCTTTACAAATTTTGGACCTATCCAACAATCAATTCTCTGGTTCAATACCAAACGAGTTAACTATGGGAGACTCATTATATTGTCTCAAACTTTCAAATAACAACCTTAGTGGGAAAATAATTGGAGCCATCTTTAACTCACAATCACTTCAGTACTTGTATCTAAATGGAAACAATTTGGAAGGAGAGATATCTCAGCTTTCTAGCTCTTCATTTTTAGAAGTATTGGACATTAGCAACAATCATTCGTCAAGCAAGATTCCAAGGTGGATAAGGAATGTCACTCAATTAAATAGCCTGGTTTTATCCAACAATTCTTTTGAGGGTTCAATTCCAAAGGAATTTTGCTATAGTGATGCGCTTCAATTTTTAGACCTTTCTAAGAACAATCTCTCTGGTTCTTTACCATCTTGCTTTAATCCATCATACATAACACATCTCTATTTGAGCAAAAATAGACTGAATGGTCTGTTGACACATTCATTCTACAACATATCTTCTTTGGTGGTACTAGATCTAAGAGAAAACAACCTTATTGAAGGCATTCCAAAATGGATTGGCAACTTTTCTAAGTTGAGTATTTTGCTGTTAAAAGGTAATCACTTTTTTTGGTGAAATTCCCGTTGAAGTATGTGGGATGGAACAACTAAGTGTGATCGATCAATCTCATATTCAGCTTTCTGGTTCTACACCTTCTTGTTTGGGTCATTTAACTCTTACACCAAGTACTTCAGTGTCTCTTTTCAACAGTACTTATATGATCATGCTCGAAAATTTTAATGATTTTAATGAACTTCAAAATGAAAGATTCTCAATCTTGAAAATGGCAACATTGATGAAGGAGGAGGGAAAAGTAGTGACAATATCATTTTTTAGAACTCAACTTAGTTTTGTAGAAGATAAGGTAGAGTTTGCAACAAAGAGGTTCACATACACTTACGGAAGTCATATTCTTCAATACATGTCTACAATTGATCTCTCCTGCAACAAACTAACAGGCCTAATCCCATCTAAATTGGGAAACATGAGTGAAATCCAATCACTAAACTTGTCTCACAACAACTTAACAGGACCTAGCCTATACCATCCACCTTCTCAAATTTGAAGCAGATTGAGAGTTTGGACCTTTCTTTCAATAACTTGAATGCTGAGATTCCATCTCAACTTATTGACTCAACTCTTTGGAAGTTTTTAGTGTTGCACACAACAACCTTTCAGGCACTATCCCATATGGAAAAGCATAGTTTGGGACCTTTGACAAAAGTAGTTATGAGGGAAATCCCCTTCTTTATGGACCCCCGTTGGATAAAAGTTTCAAGGAAACTGATTCACAACTAGGGGTTCTAGATTCCTTAGATGAAGAAAAAGAATACAGTTCCATAAATATGCATATGTTTTACATCAGCTTCGTTGTTTCTTATGTGATTGTGTTGCAATCAATTGTAGTAGTGCTGTACATAAATCCATATTGGCGATGGGAATGGTTTTATTTAGCTGAGAGGTGTGTCACCAATTGCTACTACCTTATTGCGGACAATCTTTCGAGATTCTAGTAATGTATTTCTTGTTTGTGTAGATGTATCCTCCTATATGTGAAAGTTTTCAGTTTATGCAATTTCAATTTCCAAAAGTCAGTAATACTTAATTCATGACTTTTACTTTTCTTAATCCATAAGTTTGCTTTATCTCCTGGCTTCAATTGTAAAATTCTGATATTTTGTTTACTTTAGTCGAATATATAGTCCTACAAAGAGGACACTTGTATCATATATTCAATAAATAAATCAACCTTGTTTAACAGAATTTCATTAATAGCATTTGGCATCTGTGTTTCTTTTATCAGTTGTCCCCTATTTCCTTCACTTTGCACCCTAATGGTTATGTAAGGTTAAAGATGTCACAGAATCCTTGATGACTCTACTGATACTTGCCATAAAAACATCGTTTTTCTCCCCCAAAATGATTGAAAACGAAAAGGTTGTCTTTAGTGCAGACGTTTCATGGTCCTGTTTATTCTTAATTGATTAATTAATTTTGGAGTTATCCATTGCCTAGTATTGTATTCAAAGCGAGAAACCTTAACCTTCAATTCAGCTGGACAACTCAAACTTGACCAGAAAAATATTTTTATAGTCAATGTTTTTTTCGTAGTAGAACATAATCGAGTCTTGATAAACATATTATAAGTTAGGCTCAAGCAGCAGGCAGTGTTCACACGTTCATTGCTCGTAAGGTCTGATCCCACCACATTACAACTGTTGGCTAAGCGCAGATGGCCGCCACCTTCTCCCCAAGGTAGGTGTATATTCAGCGTTAAAAAGCAATAGAATTTTCTTGCATCAAGAAAAAGTGAAATTAAACTGAAAACAATATGTGAGAGACCTAGTTTTTGTTTTTGTTTTCGAGAAAATGGGAAGCTTCATTAATAGCTAAACTTCATTAATAAAAAACAGTATAGTTGGATGCAAGGGAGCACTAGGGTTGTTCATCAATAATGATTTATACATCTGTAACTCCTTGATGGAGTGCTGAAATATCATGTAGGCCGTTTGGACCACAATGGAGTAAAACTGCAACTTCTCGCGGGACTTGGAAATGTCAATACATATTGATCTTTTTTCCATAAAATGATTGAAAGTGAAAAGATCGTCTTTTTGGTAGAACTTTTATGGTCCCTGTTATTCCGAATTGATTAATTTTGGAGGCTTCCATTGCCTTGTATCGTTTTCAAAGAGCTCAAGTTCAAGACTGTTTCTAGGTTCGAGTTTGTATGACTAGAAATCTGCTTGACCTCAGACTGCTGTAAGATTTTCAAACTGAATACCATGAAGTTTGAAAGAGGCTTGTTTACAATGCAAGTTTTGAAAGGAAAGGCTGTATAAGCTTAAATTTTATACCTTGAATGATTTAATGTACAGTACTACAATCATCAAGCAGAGGAGAGAAAACCAAAAGCAGTGATTGACACCAAAAAACCCTATTTGAAACAAATCCAGGGAAAGGGAGCAAAATCCTAAATTTTCTTTGTGCTTCTGCTCCTTTTCTTTGGTTTTAAATTTCCTGAAGAGAGGAAAGTTGAAAACTAAAAACATTCTGTTCGAGCATTTAACAATTATAAAAATAATTTTAACTTCAGATATTCAGTCATTGTGTTCAAAAAAAGTTAAGAACAAATTTTCCTGAGAGACTGAAATTTCATTGAATTTGAAACAATTTCTGCACTTGTTATTTCTCAGTAACAAAATCATAGCATCTATGAGCCACAATTTCTTCAAGGAAGGAAACAATAAACTCAGTGTTCTACATTTAAACAATTATGTAATCCATCTAACGTGGAAAAGTAATGCCCACATTTGATAGACAAGGCTCACTTATTCTAACCGCAGAAGAATTATGAATATCATAGTTGGGAATAGGCATCACACCTGGAAGACTAGGCAGTGGTGCCTCAAAATTAAGCACTTGCATTGCCTGTCTAATTGATGGTCTCAGACTACGGACAGGATGTGTGCACCAGAGTCCAACAAGCATCAAACACTCCATCTCTTTCACATTAGAATCAGTATCAATTTTTTTGTCAGCTACATCAAGAAGCATTTCATTACCATATGCCTTCCAGACCCAAGCCACTAATGACACCTGATCATCATCGAGTTGGGGTTCTATTGACCTCCTGCCACATGCAATTTCAAGTGCCACAACCCCAAAGCTATAGACATCTGACTCCTTGCTTGCCTTACCAGTGTTATGACACTCAGGAGCCATGTAGCCCATGGTCCCAGCCAACAAAGTTGTTTGTGAACCTTTTTCATGGTCAACTAGCCTAGCTAACCCAAAATCCCCAAGCTTAGCATTGAAGGCTGAATCTAACATAATGTTGCTTGTTTTAATATCCCTATGCAGCACACAGAAGTCTCCTTCTTCATGTAGATACAATAATGCAGATGCCAAGCCCTGCACAATTTTATATCTAAGCTTCAATGGCAACTTGCTTCTTCCTTTGAAGAGATGAGAATCTAGGCTGCCATTGGACATGTACTCATAAGCAAGTAAAAGTTCCTTTTCATGGCACCAACCTATAAGCTTCACTAAATTCTTGTGCCTCAATCAACTAATAATCTTCACTTCCGATGTGTACTCCTTGATCCCTTGTTTAGAGCTTTTTGAAACCCTTTTAACTCCAACATTCGTATTTGAATCCCTTAAGAAACCTTTATATACTGCTCCAAACCCTCCCTCACCAAGCTTTTCTTCTTCCGCAAAACTCTTTGTTGCTTTAGCCAATTCATCATAATTGAACTCCCTAGGTCCCATGCCATTTCCATATCCATTGTCAACTGATCTGTGTAAAGCAAGAACATCTAGTTCATTTTTTTTACCCTTCCTCCAAAACATAAAGAGAGTAAAACCTAGGCCTGAAATTACAGCACCTCCAATGGTTATTCCCACCAGTAACCCTGTCCTGCTCTTACTTCCTTTGGGAGGAAAAAGATCAAATGTTCCATTGGGAGCAAGTCCAAAGATTTTTGGGTCTTCAACATCATCAGAGCTTGGTAAGAATATTGGGGTTGTAAAGGACTTGTGTTTAGACTGCATGTTTGGAAGAAAAAGCCCCCAGTGTTTCTCAAATTCTGGCTCTTTGTTATTCTCATCAAACATGGCAAAAATGTATGTTTCAATTGGTCTTCCAGGCTTCTTCGGTGTCCCCCCCCTTCACATGCTGTATCAGATTGAATTTGTAAGTCCCAGCATACTCGGTGGTTGCTGCCATTCCGCCAGCTGAGGGCCAACCACTCTTAGATACAACAATATCCAAAGAACCCCCATTAGACCTTTTGAGTGCAGCATAAATAGTATCCAAAAGTGCATCAAAAAGATTATTGTATTGTAAATGACGATCTACAAACACAGGTGATGGAGATGTGAAGAGAGCAAAATTGAGACTAATGTTATTAGAGTTGTTAATGTAAGTTAAATATGGATGCAAGTTGACAAGTAATGGGGCCGAACTGTTCACCAAGAAGCGGATGACAGGATCGAGCATTGGCTTGTATTCTAACCTGAAAGATCCATTTGATGGCGGGAAATATGATCCTATTGCTTTTGTGTCGATTGCTGTGGATACTTTGACATCAAGCTCAGCCTTTGAAACTGCTTTGTGAATATTCTGCATTGCAGGGACTAGAAACTGTGCATATGAATCTGAAGGCCTCACTAAGTTTCCAACAACAATATACCAGAACTTGATGCTGTCATAGTTCTTAACATTGTTCTCAACCCAAGTATCTGCATTATCTTGACTGATGGCAATGTATTGAAGATCAGAGTTGGAAACACCAAGCATGACCTCAATGTTGGAGCCTCTAAGTGCTTGGAGAACATCCAAACCTGGATCATAGAGTCTCATTCTTTGGATATTATTCTGCTTGTAGAAAGATACAACTTCTCTAGGCGCTGGCAAGTTGCTCCCAAGCCTTCCATAACAAACACCAATATAGGGACTTAGGGACTTGGGGCCAGCGAATTGGATCTTGGCAGGACTGCTGGAGAAGATGATGGACCGATAGATCCATTGATTTCAGCATTAGATGATGAGCCTACAGCATTAAAAACAGATTGAGTGACCAGAGCTAAGCCAAAGAAACAGAGAGCTGCTGAAAAACTATGCAATTGCATTTTGGTCATATGGACCGTAAGTTCTCAAGAAGCTATGCCTTTTTAAATTCAGTTGCTCAACTCAATACAATCATCAAGCAAAAACATTGTCCATTTAGCTGATATTGTAAGTTGGTTAAGTCAAAGACTGCGGCAGCAGCCAACAGGCACTAAAGGAAAAAGCTCAACAAGGAAAGCATGACCCACATAGTTACTTCAGTTAGACACCATCCTAAAAAAGAAATTAACTGAAAAGCAGATGTTAGAGTTAGAGGCCGTAAATTTAGGAACTATCTATTCAGGAATCAGGAAATAAATGAAGGGAAACAACAAAGGAAACCATGAGATCCTTGAACCAATTCAATTAAAGTTGTGTGGAATTCATCCTAGACATGTCCTTTTAACAAAAACTGCTGATTTTAAAAGGTCTTGTAACTCATAAGCCCTTACAAAAAAACCAACGAAAAAAAAAAAATCATGTTCTTCTAGTTATGAACTTCAATTTCATTGAGTCAATACCGACAACCTAATTCAAAGTTAAAGAGTTAGGTATTCATCAATTCTCCGTAAGCTCAACGCCAACTTCTTAGCCGCCATTTTTTTTGGTTTTTTTATGGAATAATCAGAATCATCAGTCAGCTTTGGTGCATTGTTGACGAGTCAATGACCCATCATCTAGGTTGAGAACAGTGCAAACTAAATGGTATTATATTGATATATCACATGTTTTAAACGTTTCCATTAAAAGCCAAAGGGACAACACTATGGATAAGAACAAAATCAGATAACCAACAACGGAGCAAAGATGAAAAATATTATTCTTGAAGGATATTAATCTTTCATTGAATTTAGCAGTATTGGGTTTTCCATTAAATCTAGCATGGTTGATAAACAATAGAAGAAAAACAGCAATGAAAAGAAAAATGGAATGCAAAATCAAAGAGAGAAAGAGAAACAAAAAATGGAAACAACAGCCATGAAATGCAGAAATATTGAAATTAAAAACAAAAAGAATATTTGAAGGGTGGTTGTAGCTAGCCTTTTCCGGCGGCCGGATAGCCTTACTGTGCAGAAATCCCTTTCGCGCAGGCG